ATGTACATATACATATGTATATACAATAGCTTTTTCAAGGCAATGACAATCCAATTGAGAATATTCCATAAATGACAATTACTTAAATATGTCCAAGAAGAACTACGAAGAGATGAAATCATAAAGGTGCGATATAAAATGTGTGGAAATTCTAATATCCTTCAAAATATATTTTGCAACATTTTCGCGGATTTTTCTCAAAATTTTCTTTCATTAAAACCTTTCCACTTCAATTACAAATAACTAACAGAAATTTTAAGTCAACTCGGTCCAGCCGTTTTTTTTTTAAATAATTTTTGCAAGATTATCGCGGATTTTTCTTAAAAATTTCTTTCACAAAAACCTTCCCACTGCAATTACCGACAACTGAAAGAAACTTGGAGTCAAATCGGTCCAGCCGTTCTCAATTGATGAATTAGTATACAATTTTTGGCACCATTTTTATATATATAGATTATAAATTCTCAATTTTCCTTCAGTTGCTATATAGACAACTATTTTGAATTGTATCGTATTTTCGAGCATTTTGTATGACAAATCCAGGTAAATTGTGCCCGATTTAATTGCTAAATCCCGATAATGGACTTTATCACGATAAAGTAATAGGTCACCTGTAGGTAAATGCAACTCAAGGTTTGAATAAATTTAAAAAAGTATTAAATATGGACGTATGTGTATAGTTTACCATTTAATAATGAGGATTTGAATAATCCGACAGAGAAAACATGTTAAAACGGCATATACATTAGAACTTTTTACCGGGTTAACCTACTTTATGAGGATTTATTTGACATATATACAAAGGAAATGACGATTGAAACCCACTGGGTTAATGAAATCCGGTTAAATGTAAACGTACTATAAGTCTTATAAAATTACAACTTTTTATCGATTACTGTAAATTGTTGATTGTCCCGTTGTTCATCGTTCCCAAGAAACTCTTTAATCAATATAATCGGATTCGGAAGAGGAAATTCGTAAATTTTGATCCGAACACAATGAACGGAAGGAAACAAACATACATTTTTTATGATAATCGGTCAATATTTAGCAGATCAAATGGACCCAGATTTTTGTGTGAAAAATTCACGAAGTACGAAGAAAAAGTAGACAGTTTTTATAATGATCGGTCAATATTTAGGCGGTCAAATAATACATTTCTGTGTAAAAAAGGAAATTTTGAATCTTATGATTTAAAAGTTCAGGAGAGTGAAAATATCGAAAAATGGCCGGGCTCGAAATGATAATCGTCAATATTTAGCGGATCAAATGGACCCAGATTTGTGTGTGAAACATTGCAAAATTTGCATTCTATGTCGTATATATTTACTCCGGAAGTACATAGACCGGAGAAGTTGACAGTTTTTATAATGATCGGTCAATATTTAGGCGGTATAATAATACATTTGTGTAAAATAAAAAAAAAATTGAATCTTATGATTTAAATGTTCAGGAGAGTGCAAATATCGAAAAATCGTCAGGCTCGGAGTATAGATCTGAAGAAAGTTGGACTAGTGGTAGTTGTGTAGGGAACCATATGGTCGGCACTGTACGACTATACTGCTCCGGAATAATTGAGGCAATAAAATGAGAGAATAGTTATTATTTAAAAAGCATTTTTTTCAATATCAAAAACAAAGTTGAGCATAACGTTTACAGTGGCTTTATGTGTATTCCCCACATTTTAGGCGATATTTTTTAAGTCGCTTATTATGAAATGTCAAATTAAAAAGGAATGCTATTGTCCAAAATGTATGCGTTATTTACAACAACTAATTGTATTACAAAAACAACATTATTGTTATAGAAAATAAATTGTCAATGCCTGAAATTGAATTTTAGATCATAGATTTTTTTCTGAAAATATATATAAAAACCTTAAGCAAATCCCCTAAATAAACAAACTTTTGTATTATCGCGATAAAATGGCACAATTTAAAATGCATCTCTTATTTTTTCTAGTACGCTTTGGGACCAATTTCGAATGAGCGCATTGAAAATATTAGTTCCGTTCCAGAACCTAAAATAATTTACTAATTTTACAAGTTTTGCAACTTTTTACTCGAAAACCGTTCCTGAACACACAAAACTGGTAAAACATTGAATCAAATTTAAGAGAGCACAAAACAAAATGGCGTTCTCTTTGTAAACTTTTTACTCGAGAAATTTGGCCGAGTAAAAATGGTAAACAGGAATGCCTACTTCAGATTGGCTGTTATGTTGATTTTGAAGTATTGCCATCTAATTTTGGCATATTTACTAGATTTGTGTTCGCTTTTCAAATTATTTTGTACTCTGAGAGCGATTTTGAAATGTTCCCCTTTTACTAGCTTCACTATTAAAAAAGTACTGGAACAGAACAATTATTTGAAGTGAAGACCCTAAAAAAGTAAACAACAGACTGATCACTCCTTATATAAATGTACCTCGTCAGAGACCTATTCTTGTTTTGTCCTTCTCCTTTATTCATTACGCAAACGTTACTTCTGACAGAATTACCAAAAATCTTGAAACTTTTTGGCTAATATAATTCGAAAAGATTTTCTACCACTCTCGTGGATAAAATAAGGATATAATGTAAATATTCGATTGTTCTAGGATGACCCAAAATGCCTTAAATGAATTTGACATGTTATGAGTGATGTTTTAATTGTATTTTATTATAATTCTTGTTGTTGTTTTTTGTTATTTAAGGGTTTCTTTTAATAAATAAATTTCATAAAATTGATTTGTTTTCTTTTTTTTTTGGTTTTGTTTTTCAAATTTAACCTAAGCTCTAATTGCGAATTTCACAACCATATGGCTTTAATGTATAATACAACTTGGATAATTACACTTTTGTTTTACTTCGTTTGATGAATTGATGATTGTTGGATGATTAAATTTCATAATAAAAATATTAGTAGCAATTAAAATTATAGAAAAGAAAACAATCCAAAGTTTAACAATATAAACGACTAGAAAACTCTTCTTTCCAAATATACAAGTTATGACTAAATATTTTCATTTTCATTGTTTTTGTAATTGCATTTATCTATTTTACAATTAGTTCTTATTGTTTACGGCTATTTCTTATTGCAGATAATTATTAATAAATGGTAATCTAATGAATTTATATACTTATTTTACAATTAATGGAGGACGATGATGGAGGACGAGACTATATGGATGACTTCATCAGTGGGAAATAATGAAAGGGAAATTTAGTGGATTTATTTACGCGAAAGTAAGATATGGGATGTTTTAACAATGTGGTATAAATCACTTTGTAAAGTATTCGACATATATGTGGTTATTTTAATTACCGTTAAAATCGCTTATAACGACTTATCCAAGGGTCCCGAGAAAAGTTCTGACATTTATTTGATATCGCTTATAACGACATCGAGCTTATAGCGACAAATTTCGCTGGTCCCTTGACCGTCTTTATAAGCGATTTCGACTGTAAAGCATAAAGCTTATTAAAACATCCACACTAAAAATGTCGAGTATGCATTTGATGGAATTAACGAATGATGACATGAGTACGAGAATAAAACACACATTTATACACAAATGATATGTCAATGGGCTAATAACAACGGTACGACAATGAATTTTGTTTCTCTTTTCCTTTTTACTAATAATAAATACCTATTATTATTTTTTTTTAATATTTAATTTGAACTAACTGTAAATGTAGAATATCATAGGTTAGTATATAGTATATATATAAATTGATTTATTATATATAAATGTATATATATATAGGTATATGCATATATTTAGTTATAGAATTCTTAGCATTTGGTATCAAGTAAAAATCGTTTTTAAAATCGCGTTGTATCTGTTTTAAGAATATCGAAATATTGCAACATTGTTTCTGTGTGTTTTCCTTGTCTGTGGCTGTGTCTGTGTGTGAGTATGTCTGTGAGTAGTTGTTGTCAGACGGTTTCATTTATAGCAGTTTCAATCGCAAGAGACATCTCCTGCTGGGCCCCATTCTCGGCGTAGGGAGAGTGAGAGTGGGGTATTTACGTTGTATCGAATTTGTATATCCGTTTTCAATAAATGTATAAATAGTAGAATGATAAATTTTGTAAATTCTTAATCGACATGTGATCTTAGGTAGAGTGATTTTATTTTTGTTATAATATGCAATTGTATATAGAGAATAGTAATTATTGGTATTGATGTCTGGAGATTGTAACAATATAACAATTAGGCCGTGTATTTATGAGATGAGATATTTCGAAATAATAAAACTTTTACAACTGTTCTAAATGATTTGTGTAATGCTTATGTATTTACAGTTTTTGCTTTTCATTTTTATTCGTCTTTTCTGTAATGAAGCCAGTGTGTTTTCAAACATATTGAAATTATGGAGCATTTGACGTTTAACCTAAATCGGCAATTTGCACATTTTCCCCGAGCAATAAACACATTTGATGAAAACGTTAAACACATAAGAATATGCCTTCATTTATTCCCACACTTTATGATAAAATTTCTTGGTCAACGATTTTCGTTGTGAAGCATAATCAGATGTGATAATTAGTTAGTTAAACAAAGTCGTTGATAATTATATTTCATAGGAGTTAAATTAGGAATTGGCTTGTCTGTCAGGTGTGTCATTCGGTAAACAAATCCAAACAACATCAAAATGGTAGAAAATCACTTAGGGGTCAAATGTAAAAATTTAATAAAAAAAATCACAATAAAAAACCTCCATAAATATGCCTCAACACGAATTCATAACTTATCCAAGTAATATTTGCTTCTGTGGGTGTGTGTGTGTTAATAATAATTGTAATAATAATAGTATAAATGGTATAGCTAGCTATTGAAATATTGATTTCATTAAATGTTGAGCAATTCATTGATATATGTATATGTATGTTTGTGTTTAAATATAAATTTTTTGTTTTCAAGAAGAATTTTTTATTGTTTTTTTTTACATCTCAGAGGGAGCAGATGAATATTGTAGATTGTATGAATGGAAGTATGACTAATGGGGGGTGACAAGGCTTTTCATTTGATTTTTGTCATTATTTGTTCTTTAGCGTATTGAAACGCTTACTCGGCCGGAACAATTTGATCCAGATTTGGTTTGGTATCGTCTGGATCTAAGCTCAAACATTCCGAAAAATAATGTTCCATCGAAGAATATACATGTTCGAGTACACCTTCCAATTCGTGATCTTCATCGGCGTATGTCTGTAAAAGAAAAACAATTAATGAATAATTTGAATGAAAATTACGTTGAAACAACAAAAAAAGTTTGTCATTTATGATTTTTCAACTTAAAAATAATGCATTAATACGACGGGTACATTTTATTGTATTTGTATTTTGTTAATGCAGCGAGTTTACATTTTTCAATTCCATTGCATTCCATTCCCGGAAAAAAAGTTGAAATGTTTTCGATATGTTAAAAATATTATATAATATTGACATGTGTCAAAACATATTTACACAGAATTGTGAAATATTAGTAATTTGAAGATAATTATTTAAAATTTCTTATTGAAAGCGCGTACTAAAATTTTCACCTTTATATAGTTTGTAGAACGCCAAATACGTCAATAAAAAACGGCGAAATAATTTTTAGAGGAAATATCTTTCAAAAAAGGCAATGAGAGATTTGTGCACGTTCATTTTGGTTTTGAAAAAACAAAAAATACAGTAAATATCCCGATAATTCGTTACCAATACTAACGCATCAATTGAGAACGGCTGGACCGATTTGACTCAACATTTCTTTCAGTTGTCGGTAATTACAGTGGGAAGGTTTTTATGAAATAAAATTTTAAGAAAAATCCGCGAAAATCTTGCAAAAATTATTTTAAAGAAACGGATGGACCGATTTGACTTAAAGTTTCTGTTAGTAGTCTTCAATTGAAGTGGAAAGGTTTTAATGAAAGACCATTTTGAGAAAAATCCGCGAAAATGTTGTATAATATATTTTGAAAGATATTTGCATTTCCACACATTTCATATCGAACCTTTATGGTTTCATCTCTTTGTAGTTCTTTTTGGACATATTTTGGGTGAAAATGGGCGGCGTAGATCTTTAAATAATTGTCAATTATGGAAAATCGAAATATGTTATTTTTCTACAATTAATTGGATTGTCATTGCCTTGAAAAAACTATTGTATATGAAAATAAATTTACATTTTCATTAGAGTCAAATTTAATAATAAGAACTCGAAAAGAGATATTAAGATTAATCGTTATCATTATTTGCTCACGGTTTCCAAAAAAATAGATTTGTTTAGTTTGAAAATATATGTTACTAGCGGGACCCGTGGCGCTTCGCTGCCCCTGCTGAAGTTATCAAATTAAAATTTAGATATCATCAATTAGTAAGCATCATATATATATATACTAAATTTAATTTTGAAATTAGGTATACCCTGGTATTTTTATATGCTCGCATTAACACTACAAAAAAGTGTGAAATGTCCTGTTGTAGTAGTTGTATAGTAGTTATTAAGTAATTCGCTGTTTTCTGTAATGGTGGTAATTTGTGTTTTCTTGAAACACAATTTTTTCGCAAAGTAACAACAATTCAAAAATTATAATGTCAATACTTTTCATCAATTTTACACAATCGATCACATTCATCTGTTACCTCCTCCATAAAATGGTATTAAAAAAAAATAGGCCGACCGGACATGTATGAAAGAAAACAGAATTGAACGTGCAAAGAAAAACAATAACTACACAGAGTAACGAGACTATCGATGGACGGGATCGACGGTGTGATGCCTAATGCAATTATATCTGGATAGTGTTCTTAAGAAGTTAGAAGTTTTTTAATCACCAAAATACTGCCACCTCGGATGACAAATAGGGCTAGGGTCATACAAAAACATAAAATGGGTAGGGATTACTTGTACGAGGGCTATGACAAAAAATGGATCCATATTAAAAATTATCTCCTAAGACAGCTCTTATTTTCTAGAAATAAAATGAGGCTGGAGCCGCAAAGCCCTAAAAATAACTGGCATTTGTATGGGGGCTATGTCAAGACCGAAACATGTATAGACGATTTTTGGAGAAGAGGTAATTTAACTTCCAGTTGGAAAATTTGTTGCATCCCTGGGTGTTTCTTCCTCCAATATACTGTCGGAACCCATGGTTTTTTTTACAAAAAAAACCAGATGATAAAACGATTTATAACTAAAATCCACACTACTCACTTCAATGTTTTTGTTTTTTTTTTTTTTTTGCATTTCAAAATATATCCGCATCGGATGATGAGTATTTGTATCCATGTTACTCAACCATATTTTCAAGCCGCTACCTTAAGATATACCCATAGAAAATGTTCTACATAAATGCATTCTTTCAAATAGATGTACTTTTGATGCTATTACTCCTCAGTTTTATCTAACCTATGTTACTTCCATGGGATCGTTTGACTTACTATGAATATTTAAGTAAAATCTGTTTAGTGGTTTTTGAGTCCACAAACAATATTTTTTCTCTTTCCTACGTATGGATTTAAATGCAATGTAGCCATGTTGTGTGAATGATGCGTATTTACACTCACGTTACTCAGGAATAGTTTGAAGTCGGTATCTGTAACCTTACTTAAGATATACACAATTTACATGTTCATAATATTTGAGGTATGATTACGATGCTATAACACCGCATCCTCGGGAAATCATTGAAGTTTATATAGCATATGTTATTCCCAGGGCATGTTATGACCTTCTGTGAAAATCTCAGTAAAATCTTTTCACATTTTTAGAGTAAAAAGAGTAAAAAGTGCAATTCCCGTTTCTCATTTTTCTATGGATGGTGTGTATTCACACCTTCGTTCTTAAGATAAATGCATATTACATGTTCAGAAATGTTGAGGTATGTTTACTATTGATGCTATAAATCCTCATCCACGCGGAATTTTAAAAGTTTATATAGCCTATGTTACTTTCAGGGCATGCCCCGACATACAGTGTAAATCTGATTAAGATCTGTTCAGCGGGTTTGGCGTCTATCGGTAACATACAAACAAACAAACAATTTTTTTCTATTTTATATCTATATATATAAAAATGGTGCCAAAAATTGTATACTAATTCATCAATTGAGAACGGCTGGACCGATTTGACTCAAAGTTTCTTTCAGTTGTCGGTAATTGCAGTGGGAAGGTTTTTGTGAAAGAAATTTTTAAGAAAAATCCGCGATAATCTTGCAAAAATTATTAAAAAAAAAAAACGGCTGGACCGAGTTGACTTAAAATTTCTGTTAGTTATTTGTAATTGAAGTGGAAAGGTTTTAATGAAAGAAAATTTTGAGAAAAATCCGCGAAAATGTTGCAAAATATATTTTGAAGGATATTAGAATTTCCACACATTTTATATCGCACCTTTATGATTTCATCTCTTCGTAGTTCTTCTTGGACATATTTTGGGCGAAAATTGGCAGCGTATAATATCTTTAAGTAATTGTCATTTATGGAATATTCTCAATTGGATTGTCATTGCCTTGAAAAAGCTATTGTATATACATATGTATATGTACATAAACTCGAGAACGGCTGAACGGATTTTTCTGATCTTAGTCTAGAAAGTTTAAAAGGTGAGAAAAAATCGAAAACCACGGAAAATTTGCAAAAAAGAATATTATGAAGCATAGTTGCATTTCCAGGAATTTTTTATCAAGCTATTTTGATTGCACCACGTCGTAGTTGATTTTTGAGATATTTTGGGCTAGAATTGGTAGCGAGTCAATCCAATAAACCTTCATTTGTCAATTATTGAAAATTTTCAAAATATTTTTCTTTTTTTCAATTGGATTGATATTGTATTGAAACTTTTTTGTGAGAATACAAAAAATAATTGAGAAGTATATCATTGAATGTAAACGCGATCATTGTATGTACACAGTTTTCTATAAAATCCACGTAAATTTTGGGACAACTGCAAGGATGAAAATCAGAAGACAGTCGGAATAGAGTTCTGATTCTAAGATTCATGCCCTAGATTATTTTCTTGAAAATAATAATAATAGGGACATGTTGATATGAACATGTTGACGCGAGAAATATCAAATCTTCTCCTAACCGTTGGTTAATGTCTTTGAACTTATAAACACAACACTTCGCATTATACATCAACTATATTGCTAGGCAAGACAACGTTTGCCGGCCCGCTAGTACATATATAGATGTAGATAGTTTTTTCAAGGCAATTGTAGAAAATTAACATATTTTTAGAATTTTCCATAATTGAAGATACGCTGCCCATTTTCGCCCAAAATATTTGAAAAAGAACTACGAAGAGATAAAACCATAAAGTGTCGATATAAAATGTGTGGAAATACTAATATCTTTCAAAATATATTTTGCAATATTTTCGCGGATTTTTCTCAAAATGTTCTTTCATAAAAACCTTTCCACGTCAATTACAGACTACTAACAGAAATTTTAAGTCAAATTGGTCCAACCGTTTCTTTAAAATAATTTTTGCAAAATTTCCGCGGATTTTTCTCAAAAATTTCTTTCATAAAAACCTTCCCACTGTAATTACCGACAACTGAAAGAAATTTTAATTCAAATCGGTCCAGCAGTTCTCAATTGATGCGTTAGTATACATTTTTCTTGCTCCATTTTTATATATATAGATGGTATGTGAAGCAATTTGCATGGCATGTATAAGTTATGAAAATTTTCTCAAATAAAACCCAGTAAGACATGGTAAAGTAAAGATTAAGCGTTTCCATTATGTGGAGCCTATGCCAAAAACTATACCGGCAATTATGAGGCAAGTTTTTTACCCTATGCGGAATACCGAATTAAAGGCAATAAAATGGATATTTTTTGCTTAAAAGCGCACAATAATGGAACAAATTGTTTTGAACTTATAAATACAGCACATATCCCATGTGTCCTTAATAGGAAACAACATCAGGAATATTTTTGAGAAAATTGCCAATACATAGACATATGTTTTTATGTTTTAGTAAAAAACGAAAACGTCTATCAAAGTATCCAATACAGTTCAATGATGTTAGTAATTCGCTATATAAAATTACAAATACGTCAACAAAATACGAAGGTATTATTGAAAATTTTCTTATGTTCGGGAAGAATACGTTTAAATTCGAATCCTACATGGAGGCAATTTCGCATTATATGCTGTTTGTGTCTAACTTATTTGTTCTCAACTGTATTTTTAAAGGTGTGAATAATGTTTGCATGGTATATTGAATGTACCGATTTCACTCACGTTTTCCTTCGGCTGTTTGTAATTGCATTGGGCATTTTTTTACGAAGAAGATGTTGAGAAAAACATCAAAAATCGGGAAGTTGGAATAATCGAATGTTGTGTTAGTTACATCGTTTATAACTCAAGAACGTCTACACCGATTTTGACGATTCAAAGGACTTATAAATCGTATGTGTTCAGGAAAATATGTAAACTAATTGTGAGATTCCGCCAAAACAAATATATTAAGTAATATGTATAATCGCTCAATTTTTTATCGAGCTTTAATGTTTAAAAAACTGTTGTTTTTTCAAATAATTGTTTTTATTGTTATTGTTATTTACATCAAAACTTCTAATTTCATAAAATACTAGCTGGGCCCGTGGCGCTTCGCTGCCCCTACTAAAGTAATTAACATAGGATAGTTCACGTAGAAAACTATTTTATTTTGTATAAATGCTACTATTTATTAATAGGATTGATTGATATAGGTATTATAGTAGCCCCAATTACTGTTCGACTACATATATTTCGAAGTGTAATGTATCAGTACTAATTCCGTAGCAGCTGGTTATTTGAAGCTTGAGCTTGACTTGTCTCAATATGATTATACACTAATATATTTTCTACAATATTCACATGTTTTGCATTAATCGTTCAAAGACCAATAAAATCCTTCATTCCCATTACCACCTACCTTTATGTCGGTATTCTCATCTGATTTCCCATTATATGGCTGGGATCCTTTCACATTGTAATATTTTTAACGAACTTAGACTTAGTTTTCTTCTTAATTCATCATTGTATAATGTTCTTAACTGAAATAAATAGTTTTAGTAATATCCGTTTGATCAACTAAACTTAATTTCTCAAGTAATGTACACATTTTGTTTTCAGGTCAGCTATGATGATAACCCACCACAGATTTCAGATTATTATAACTTTTAATCCATCATCCGCATTTCGCTTCTGGATACCTCCCAATTATTGCTGATGCATACTTTTATTGAATTCATGTTCGTTTTCTCCAATGGTAGTAAAATTATTACTGATAATAGGACAAAAAATTACTGATAATAGGACAAAAAATTATGAGTCGAAAATTTCTGATTTGACCATATTTTACTAAGATTGGATGTGTACTTAAATGAGTATCATACATACTTTTATGAACATATTTATTGAAGATATTCAGATATATGCATAGACAATTAATATTAGTTCAGAGGTATGATTACGGTTGATGCTATAACTCTTCGTCATCGCGGAATTTTGAAAGTTTATTTTGCATATTTTACTTCCATGGGATGGCATTTCTGACTGCGAAAATTTCTACAAAGTCTTTTCAGCGATTTTTGTGTCCATGTATAGATATATTAAATTCAATTGTGAGTAAATTCCGTCCATTGTATCGCCCCAATCATATGCATGATGCGTATTTGTAACCAAATTACTCAATCAAATTTTAAAGTGGGAATTTGTAACGCCCTTTAGGATATAAACATAGAATACCTATGTCATTTCAGATTTGTGATTACTTTTGATGCTATAACTCCGCCTATGATTTGTCTATCAGGTAGCATGAGGTGCTGTAAAATTCGCACTAAAATCTGTTGAGCGGGTTTTGACTAATCAAACAAAAAATTTTATTTTCGCTGTATGCAAATTATTTAAGTGCAATTAATTGTAGAAAATTAAAATATTTTGAGAATTTTCTATAATTGACAATTACTTAAAGATATACGCTGCCAATTTTCGCCCAAAATATGTCCAAAAAGAAATATGAAGAAATGAAACCATAAGGGTTCGATATAAAATGTGTGGAAATTCTAATATCTTTCAAAATATAGTATTCAACATTTTCGCGGATTTTTCTCAAAATCTTCTTTTATTAAAACCTTCCCACTTCAATTACAGACTACTAACAAAAATTGTAAGTCAAATCGGTCCAACCGTTTCTTTAAAATAATTTTTGCAAGATTTCCGCGGATTTTTCTCAAAATTTTCTTTCATAATTACCGACAACTGAAAGAAATTTTGAGTCAAATCGGTCCAGCCGTTCTCAATTGATGCGTTAGTATACATTTTTCTTGCTCCATTTTTATATATATAGATGTGTATGTTCTAATACTAATAATGCGATCATTAACATCGACGAAAATAATGGTAATTATAGCATTATTAGTATTCCCGTCAGATATTCGAAGTTTTGTCCTATTTTCTTTAGTCAAAAAAAGTGTTTTATTTTTTCGACAATGTTTCTTTTTTTGGCCGACAACTTGAAGTTTGGATGTGGACCTATGTAACCTTAAACAACTACTTATTCAAAATTTAAATTAAAATCAAGTTGTTAAAAAATGTGAGGATATAACAAATCCGATTACAACATTTTACGATTTAGAGTTAAGAGTTAAGGCATTTACAATTTAAAGAAGGTATACCGCGTCAACATTGGCCAAATTTTCCCCCCTTAACTGTCAAAAACTATTTATAGAATATATAGCAAACATATACAAATCTACAACGGCAATCTGAAAACTAATAACTGAGCGGAAACCACTAAATTTCTATGACAAATCTAAATTTTTTGAGTTATATACGGATTTCAATATAAAAATCATGAACAAAATGATATTTTAATTAAGAATCCTTCAAGAAGGGACAAATAAGATAATGTAGAAACGTTGGAGCAATAAGAAAATATGATCTTCTATTGAAAAAAAAAACATTTGGAGAAATAAGTTCCAATTCGCCTACCACATTTTGTTATATTAATTTCTGCTGTGTTATTTGCGGACTTTCGATTAATTTCCAGATAAATTCATCGAATATTCGTAGTGTTTGGATCACAGAGTATAAAATACGGACATGATTTTAAATTCAAAAAATTTACTTTACCTGATATCTGTATAAAACATTGGCATCGGTTAATGACTTGGCCAGCTGTACCCCATGTATATATGGTGCTGTAGAATCGGCTAAGCCGTGTATCAGAAAAAACGAATGCGATTTGATGAGACGCGCCCTTTGGGTAGCATCGGCTTCCACATATCCCTTGTAATTTTCTGCTGGAAGACCCAATATTCGTTCTGTAAATGCTGAATCTATAGATGAGGAGGGTGGTATGAGGAGGTTATTATATTACGATATTGTGTCTACAAAATATTGTTGGCAATCAGTACTTACTGTAATACAGCCAATCGGCAATTGGTGATATCGCTATGCCACATTTGAAGACATCCTGTTGTGTACCTAGGACCATAGATGTTACGTAGCCACCATAACCCCAGCCCCAAATGCCAACACGCGTTTCGTCTAAAAAACTTATCGTGTCGAGGAGGTAACTGTAAATTGGAAATAAATTTGGGGTGTTATATGGCCGTTGCATAGGAAGGTCATGAGATGACAACTTACCGTATGACAGAAATTTGATCTTGTACTTCCACACCACCTAGACGGCGATAAAGAGACTTCTTGCTCTGGCCCTTGGCGCCTCGCACATCCAGGCGTATATAAATTACATCATTGCGCGATGACATATAAGTTCCCCAGTCAACTCTGAATCTTTCAGACACTGACTCTGATCCAGGTCTACCATTTCTGTAACGAAAAGGTTGAAGGGTTAAATGTGATTCAAAACCCCCTAAAATTAGTAAACAATGTCCTTACACTTCCACAACTACGGGAAAGGCAGCATCTCTCAGCTCTTCACGCCAACTGGGTGGCAACAATAGTTGCACTTGCGCCCTGCTGCCATGTGGCAGGGATATTTCAAATGATCTTTGTGTGGGCAAGGCCAACTTTTTTAAACGTTCTGTATAGAAGAGTCTGGTGTCGTAAAGGACCTTCACCAGACTATGTGTCTTGGAAGCATGAACGCCCGATACGGGCAAACCGGGACCCTGGCAGTCCAGGATGTAATAGGCAATTCCCTCAGCCGTGGCCAGGGATGATTTTGGTGCCAGGAAGGCATCAAAATGTGAGCAATTCGAGTAATAATACCGACTGCTCCAAAGTGCTTCTCCCAAATCGCAAGTGATACAATTGGGTTCCATTCTAAAAAGATCCGAAAGCATTGTCATAAAAGAATCAAACAATAACAAGTCACCATAAGTCATTGAGTCCAACTTACTTTCGATTGTCATCGTTGACGGGATCTCTGACGGTATATAAATGTCGCTGTCCTGGCTTCTTGTCTTTTGTCCCCAAATAGTATACAAGATGATTGGCGGTATCCCAGCAAAGAATTTTCAATACCTGCAAGAACATGCGCATGAGATCACCCAAGACATAAAAGCGTAAAGATTCGGCAACATGCATTAGGAAAAATATTTTGTCGAATATCATTTAGGGGGGCTTGTCATTACAGAGATATGAAATATATCATTAAGAGAGAAAATGGCGTTTAAAAATTTGAAGGAAATCCAAAATCTGAACTCAGAAAAATATCTCATATGTTATTTGAATTTACATTGAATTAATTTAAATAATTTAAAATGTTCAAAAGCTCTATGTATTGACAAGTTTTGACGCTCTCATGATCCATCTTGATACATTTATGTCTGTCTTATAGACATCTCTTGATCGTTAAACTAAATACCTCATAGCGTCCATGAGATATTACTGATATCCTCTGTTGTGATATGGTCACATGTTTGATGTGAGTAAAGTGCTCAGTTCCTGATTCCTGAACACTGGCCAATATCAAGAAACTATTTCCATCTGGAGAAAAGACAGGATGAGGAAGTATATCCAGCCATTCGTCCTCAGGTGCACGTTCTGTATGAATCTGAAATTAAAAAAAATTACCGGACATTAAATGACGTTGTTTAGTAAGAAACTGATCGCAAATACCTCTGAACATTCCCAGTTCTCATCGGCAAAACATGTAGATATTACGCTATAATTTTGTGATCGCATCATGTAAACTACCGATACTTGACGATTGCTGTCAGTCACCCAGCCGGCTGATGTCAAGTAGTAATCGCTGTGAAAAGAGTTATAGGGAATGTCAAAATTTTATATATTGTGCATTAAAATATGGTATGGAAGACATCAATTGTTCGAAATATTCTCCACAGTCGCGATAAATAAAGAAAAACTATAGCAATGGGACTTTTTGTGGAACTCTGAAATTTCAATAATGAGCATTTCCAAATATTATTTCAGTTTCAACAAATGACACAAATTAAAATAGTGGCCACTAAAAATATTCCAACCGATATTGAGCAATTGCGTCGACTTTTCGATTTTCTAACAAAAGTCAATTTTACGATCCTTCCATTTTGTAAAACCTGTTCCAAATCGATTTTCAACCATCGCCGACTTATGTTAAATCGAATACAAATTTTATTTATTATATATGATTTGTTGTCAACAGATAAAATCAAGTTTTGGAATGAGTCATTTTTGGGTTTGTTGGGCTTTGTTATAATAAACCAAGTATTTATGAAGAAAGTCAAAAAAAAAAGATCTTGAAAAGTCGACTTTGCGACTTCCTCAAAGATCAAAAGTAGTGTTCCGCAGCCTGTGATTTTTGTATGCCAATGTGTGGAACACATTTTATTAAATAAATTCTTAGATTCACTCTCTGATTAGAATGAGCCAATTAATATAGACAGAATCCCATTGTTGATATATAAAATCCACAAAACATTAGGGTGATTTTAAATTTAGATCATCGAAGTGAAGAATTTATTTATATTTCTATTTAACTGACAAAAACACAAAAGCAGAATTCTCACAGTTAAATAAGAGTAACTTTATAACGACTACTTACTGTTCGTCCAACGATGGAGGCGGCTTCAGCTGAATATGTTGGATATCTGTAATATTTGTTATATTTACTATCCACAGCTTCACTTCGGGATTGGGTGTACCCGGCGTTGGATAACGGACATTTTTCGTTTCCGGAAATGAACTTCCCGCAGAAACACCACTGCCAGTTATGACTGCACCCGAAGCTAGCCAAGGATACGTCATCATACCGACATTGGTGTCATTGAAGGAGGCATACATGAAAAAAGTTCCATCTTGAGAGGGCCAAATGGCTTGGGGCTCATTAAATATTTCCTCTGTACAAGAAAGAGAAAAAAACACCATATCAATTAGAATCTATCTGGTTGATGTTTGTTTGATCGCACTTACCTTGATACAGCCAATCGGGTACACCGTTGTAAAAGACATTTTGGTAGCCATTAAAGGTGATTCGAATATCCTCCTCGTCGGACGGTGATTGTCTTATGTAAATGTCATTGTCGGCAACTATTATCAGTGAGGTGGTATTCCCCAGCCAGGTTGCATACTGTAGGCGTGTCCTCTGGACTTTGGGTGAGTCTTTTAATTTCACAGGCATGTGATGATCGTTATCAACATCGTATATTGTATAAAATGCATTAAATGATTTTTTGAAAATCTACAAAGCAAAAATGCAAAAACAACAACAGTAACAGTAACAAAATTCATTACAATGTTTCGTGATTTGGAATCGGGGGAGGATATTTACCTTCTTAACATTATGTCTGAATAGTACATATCGCAGATCGTTCGAGCATTCATAGCCCTGGACATTAAGTTGTCTGAGAGTGTGATTAGTTGCCAACGTACTGACCCTATTTGTGGCAGTGTCCAATACTGAGAGGCCACCATCATCTGATTGGAAAACGTATTTCTTGGAGGTAACCCATGAGGGCTGCAGACGAGTGGGTGTCAAGTCTCCCTGCAGATACTCGTCGAGTATCATGCGTCTTCCCGACCAATAAAGTAATTCATCTACATAACTATGGACAGACAAAGAGTGTGGTGGGTAATTACAAAGTCATAATCGTGAGAACATTTGAATCTACATACCCTAATAAATATATGGCTGTTATAATGCCGGCTATAACAAAACTTATCACTAACAGCGAAAATATTATCGATCGCCAATTGTGACCCTCATCTAGGTCTAAGTCTTGATCTTTTTGCTTCGGATCTTGTATCTGAAGCGTTTCGTCGGGTGGCAGACGCCAAGATCCGCCACCACTTTTATCGGATGTCATGTTCGCGTGCATTGGGGCTTCTTAGTTGTCGTTGGATCGCAAATAGCAGGAATCTTTTCGGATTCCTTCCAACTCTTGTCTACTTTGCTATTTTTCTTCGGCGTCCTATTCACTCACTGCTTTGTCTCTCCGTCGGTGTATCGGCGAATACTCACGTTGACCACATTGTAAAGTATTTTGTAATTTTTGCGAATGTCCAACATGGATATTTATATTTAGCTCAATGTATATTTCGCTGTTTTAAACTAATCGTTCCATCCACCCCAATACTGACGTACTTATGGCGTAGAAATGAATGAGATTCTTCTGTCCAAAATTATGTCCTGCAAAATAATTGAAGAAAAAAGAAATATATTGTAAATATGATGCTTTTGTATAATTATTCAATGTTTCATTGTGGTTTAAGTGAAAATTATTCCAAACTTTTAAATCTAAATAGTCTAATTGAATATACTTTCTTCTTTTTATACTCTAGGTGGGATTATGACGTTGTATATTAGTTTGTAACATGCCAAAGGGTAGCAGCAAATAATTTTAATGCTTTCTATGGCGACGAAGTTTTTGACGACTTATTTGATTGACACCAAAGCGAACCCTATTGAAATTGATGAGACTCGATTCAGATTTATATGTATATGGTTTAATACCTTCGTTCGATTAAATGATAACGGAACATCAATAGGTATGTTACTCAATAATTTGTACAAGTTGTTGCTGGATGTTGTTCGTTTACGCAAAGTTGTGTTACTGAGTATTGACAGTTGTGTTACTGGTAAAATTTATTTATTTTACCAGTAACCAGTAACAACTGTATTTCATAGAATAGCATTCGAAATTCATAGAATTCCATTTGAAATCCGAAAACTTGCCTTTGAAATTCCAAGTATTGCATTTGAAATTCATAAAATTCCACTTGAAAATAATAAAATTCCATTTGAAATTTAAATAATTCTATTTGAAATTCTTAACATTTGATTTGAAATAGATAACATTCCATTTGTTTTCATAACATTTAATTTTAAATTCGAAAAATATTATTGGTCACACACAAGAAATATGTATGAATTTGAAATGAATTGTTATGAATTGCAACTGAAATTTTATGAATTACAAGTGAAATGTTATGAATTTCAAATTGGATTCTTTGAATATCAAATGGATTTTTTTGAATTTCAAATGAATCTCTACGAAATTCAAATGGGAATATTCGAAATACAAATAATTTTTTTTTAAATTTCATACGAAAAGTTTAAAATTACAAATGAAACGTTGTGAATTACAAATTACATACTCGAATTACAAGTGAAATGTTATGAATTGCAAATAAAGTTTTCGAATTACAAATGAAATTAGTAATTCACAACATTTCATTTGTAATTTTAAACTTTTCGTATTAAATTAAAAAAATACATTTGAAATTTAAAAAAATTCATTCGTAATTCGAATGTTTCAATTTGAATTTCGTAGAGTTTCATTTGAAATTCAAAGATATCCATTTGAAATTCAAAGAATCCAATTTGAAATTCATAACATTTCACTTGTAATTCATAAAATTTCAGTTGTAATTCATAACAATTCATTTCAAATTCATACATATTCCTTTTGTGTTACCAATAATATTTTTCGAATTTAAAATTAAATGTTATGAAAAACAAATGGAATGTTATGTATTTCAAATCAAATTTTAAGAATTTCAAATGGAATTATTTAATTTTCAAATGGAAATTTATTAATTTCAAGTGGAATTTTATGAATTTCAAACGCAAATATTTGGAATTTCAAATGGAAGTTTATGAATTTCAAATGGAATTCTATAAATTTCGAAAGGTATTCTAGGAATTACAAATTAAATTCTCGAATTACAGCTGATATGTTGTGAATTGGAAATGGAATTCTCGAATTGCAAATTATATGTTGTGAATTACAAATGGAATTCTCGAATTACATTTGATATGTTTTGAATAACATGTGAAAAAGGTGTAGAAGATTATTGCAGTACGGGAACAGACCAATAAATTAATAAATAAAAGGTGTCCTGAGTAAGAAACTGGTACAAGTGGAAAATATCGATTTTTGGTGGACACAAAATGGCTAATTGAGGCATGATTGGTAAAATATGCAAAATGTTTCAGATTAGCGAGCAATGTTATGCGGAGGTCTGGAGATTTAAATAGAGATTTTATTATTTTTATTGGGAGGTACCAAAAAGTGTTGCGTCGTCGACATTGGTCTAGGTTTGGTAAAATATTACAATTTGAAAAATTTGAATAAAATCCTATATTGATTAATTGGATTAACAAAATTAAAAAATGTTGACACTGGGTGGGAAGTACCGGAAGGAGTATACCGACGGATCACACCTTCGATGTGTTTGAATTCCGATGAAATTGGATATTACGTTTGCTTCATATAAGATGTGGGTGACGTAGGGGATGATATATACCAAGCAACGGCTCTGATTGGCCCTCTTTCATCTAAATTTGGGACACAGACCTCCCCGCGGTGTCACCTGGGGTAGCTACTTTCATCAGCCGTTAAAATAGTGTGCTGATATGTGCCGCGAGTTCACACATAGGGACTATAAAAACTATGAAAAAGCAACGAAAAAGAAAACCAAATCCCATAATGTTGACGACCCTCGCAAACGTATAAAAGACCACGATCTGCGAATCTGCACTTGGAATGTACGCACGTTGAACAGAACAGGCGCAATTTTCGCTTTGGCGGATGTTTTCAAGAAGTACAATGCCGAGACGTGAGTAAATTAGATGATAAGGCCCTGTGTTATAGCTGCAATGAAACGAGACATGAGTTTGGCTGCGGATTTGTGGTTAATAGGAGAATAAAAGACCTCGCATCCAGATTCACTCCAGTAGATGAGCCAATTGCTATAATGCGTAGAAGAGTGAAGTTATTCTACATATGTCTTGCCTATGCCCCTACAGAAGACAAAGATGAAAAGACCAAAGACATATTTTACGAAGGCCTAGAAACATCATATGATCGTTGCCCTGGCCATGAAATAACTTTCTGCTAAGAGATTTTAATCCAAAAATCGGAAGGGAAAATCTTTTTGACGGCAGCAAAAACATGGTAGTTAGCAGCACCAGATTCAAGCATCTCGATATACACAAGGCCACCGATCAAACAACGAGAAATCAAACTGATCAAGTGTTGTAGATGTTTGATCGATCCGAGGAGCGCAAATGAAATTCTCGAATTGCAAATTATATGCTGTGAATTACAAATGAAATTCTCGAATTGCAAATTAAAATGTTTCGAATAACATTTGAAAAAGGTGTAGATTTAGCACTTTTCAAACTTGTTTAGCATCAATAAAGTGATCTAGCATTTTTTTTTAGCATTTTTATATCCACTTCGGTGGGAAAAAGGCACTAAAACCTTAAAAGTACGCATATAGGATTGAACCTTTATATGGTACCTATGTAGGAACCTCGAATATGCGGCTGATACTTTCAAAATACCGAAAATAGGTTGGTACTGTTGTGATATTAGTGAGGACTATGTGCGAACCTTGAACTAAATTGATAATTTTCTGTATTTATCCATTACAATCAAAAGTATTGAATTATAGTCAACTCGGTCGATAACGCACGCGAAATGCCGAATCTGGGGTCTACCCCGAAACATGGGTCAATACTGATAATTCTTTATAGGAAGACTTTCTACCAAATGAGGTCCCAAAATATAAAATTGGATCCGCTACGTTTGAAAAATGTGCATTAAGTCACCAAAATACAGAATAATAAAGGAATTGCTCTATCGAAGCTATCCCGAAACATGGTCCCATATTGATAATATCACTGTGCGACACGAACATTTTTCAGGGGTTCTAATGTACCAATTCTGTTTAGTTGGAGTCCCTGGACCACGAAAATACCTTTGATTTTTCTGGGTCACTTCGAAAATTAATTTTATAACGGTAAATATAGAGAAAAACGTGGTTTCATGGATTTTCCATTTGAAACTTGAATAACTTATATATACTTTATAACGGATATATATTATTCTTTTTTTATTTCGTTATAAAGTACAATTTTTCCTTTCAAACAAGATATATATTTGGTACATCGGTTATAAAATTAATTTGAGTTACAGCGGTTGAAATGTGAAAAAATACGCATAAAATGACAAAATTTTTTTTTATTTTGTACGATGAAATTATGATATTAAGCCATATAAGTTTTATTATATTACGGGGAAGAAAATTAAGTTAGCTTTCGAAAATGATGTAGTATCAATGTGTGTGCAAAATCTCAAAACTCTGTCTTCAAAATTGCGAACGGTGCCATTATTTAAGCAGACAGACGGTCATGGCTAAATTGACATAGAACTTTACTCTAATTAAAAATTAATGGGGTCTCAGGTGAATATTTCGATATGTTGCATACACATTTAATATACACTCACACCACCTTGTGATGGCGCACTACACTACACTCTAACTCTATTCAAAATATCCATTAACATCCTCTTAAATCGTATTCTACCATGTTAAGCTTTTTTCTATTATTTTCGCGAGCAACGATAGTTTTCATATATTTTAGCTGTGTAACAATTACTTATTTAAAAATATACACAATGTCCAGGGAAAACTACATTCCTAATTATGTCTTTAAGGCGAGAAATAACTTGATATGGACAATTCGCATCACTTGAGATAATTTGAAGTTGAGAACATAAACCGGAAATCAAAAAAAAAAAAAATCAGAGATTAAAGGTGCGTGACATTTTTCATTTTTGGCTAAAACCAATAGCATTGTTAATGAAACAAAATTTTTGGAAAAATCAGTCAAGCCATTTCGAGTATTTATAGAATTATATATATACAGCATTTTTCGCTTATAGTCCATTACGCTTAAAAGCCAAAAACGGATGTAAGCGAAAACAGTACGATTTACTGACAAGTTTTTTTCCAGTTTCATACAAATTTTTTGTTCTTAAGTCCACTTCGTCTATAGTCATTTTCCTTTACAGGCCACATTTTCTGTGCATGGAAAAGTAAAATTGCATAGAAAAAAATTTCATATAGTCCAACCTGTATTATATAT